GTCTTGTAGAAAAAACCGCAAGCTTTCAATAGACGCCTTAAACTTTAATCCGAGGCGTTGTATATAGTATGTACTTTTTTATGCTCCTGATTGAGCGCAGAGGTCGTGATATGTTGTCCTTTACTTCTAGTATCGTAGAAAGTATTCCTAATTTCTGTTTTGATGGTATCACTTACAATACTTACATCATCGGTCTTGCATTTTTTGATTTTGTGTGTTTCCCCAACTGTTACTGTGGGCAAACCTTTCTTATTTTCTGATTTCATTCGATGAACACTGTGCAGACTAGTCTTCAGCGCATCTGCTACTCTCTCTAGTACGTTTGAAGTGGGCAACAGGGAACCGCTGTTTCCATTCTCTTCCTGGAAATACTCTAATAAATTTAGCACGAGCTGTCGGCCTTCTCCATTGATCGTATTTCCGGGCATTGTACATTTTTATATTGAAGATTGATAACAAGACAACTCAAATTGCACGCCGATGTAAAGTAAGTTTTCACTCTGACAAACAAGATACGCAACGACAAAGTTTTCGAGACGGAGACATACAACTAAAAACGTAAGTCTTTGAGCTAACCGAACAAGCGTTCACACACAGGGGTAGGTTGCATGTGTATGTATGGGGGAGATGGAGATACATAAAGGGATACTGGTAGTCTTACCTTGACCCGCCAAGAACGGTAACTACAACTATAGGAACGTTATTGGTAATATACAGAGTGTTCCGTACTTAAATGGACATACTAGAATGGTTGGTAGTTCGTTCTGAGACCTTTTCATATCTTAAAATAAAAAAATGTCTAAATTTGTTATTTACGAATACACAGGGTGATTTATCTAAACACGCGATTAAAAAATCCAGTGCCGCACTGGATTTTTTCACTTTTAGTCTTTTTCCATTAAAATCAAATTGTGCAAAAAACAATGGATGGTGTTAGTTAATTAGGATAAGAGATTGATTGCTCCTTTTCGCTTTTTGGTTAACTTTTTTTATCTATTTCAATCTGATGTTTGACCGATCAATGTCTCTTCTCTAACGGAAAGTCTCGGGACTCTTTTGCGCTGACGGGTCGGCAGCGATCTAGCTCTTTTCTACCGCTACGGGCTTTGGACTGAGAGCTCTACTCCTGGTTCAATATAAAACAAATTAAAGTTCTGGTGAAGATACGAAAATGCAGCTCCAATGCCGGTATCTCATTGATAGGCTGAACGCAGCGCCACCAGATCCCACCAAATGCAACTAGGCCATAGTCTTTCATGAAGTGATGAAAAAAACTTCAAATCCCTATGACACAGATTCGAAATGTTTCATGACTACAAGCAAAAAACAACAATTTTCTGTATTTACATTCAATAATTTGTTTTCGTTCCTTTATTAATCAAGCTGTATAGATATACCTACTTCTGTGTTTACTTTCTGATGCGAAATAGTAACTTACAAACCCAATCTTTGTTAGATGTCAAACGCGGCGCAACAACTATTATCTACGTATTCGAGTGTATTGATAGTAGCTATTATGTGGAATAATCAGTATTTTAATTTTCGAAACATCCAAATGTTAAGAGGGCAAATGAAAGGTTGGAGGTCCCACGCTTTGCCCTGACTGAGGCCTGTAGATACCAGTGGCGTTACATACAACTTGCCTTATTGAAAATTTGCTACAAAGAATGTACAAGTATTTGTCAATAAAATTTACAAAAAATACCCCATGTATAGTCTTACTTATGGTGCAAACTTGTAGTATTCTAACTCATGCAACAGGTGGTTTGCGATTAGTTATTTTTTTGTATATAACGTTAACTGTGATTGTCGTAAGTAGGTTCACATATTGAATTTCATGGGGTCTTGTTTGTAGAAGCTTGTTTAGGTCAAACTATTGAGCGTTATTTAATTGTTCACAAAGTGCTGATCTGTAGAACCTGCTGATTATCAGTTGACGGTATTTCGTGGCTTTATTTACCTGAATTATTTGGAGCATTTACGTATGTAAGCATAAAAAAGAATAAATATGACCGGAATGTAGCTTGGAATTTAGTTTTCTATGCTTCATCGTCTCAACAACTTGGAAAGCCACCAAAAGAGTTACTCCATTCTGGCAAATTAATATCCAATACAACATGAAGGTAAAGGACTAACTTGTGGCAGTGCACAAGAAATTCGTTCAAAATCTAGTGCTGGTGATTAGAGGTTTGGTTACCGCATCAACAAGTTATGTATGACCAAATGCTACAATCGCAGTATTGAATCAGTTTGATCGTACAGCAGTCAGGAACCTGTCGGTAACCGTGTCCAAGATCAGGCCACACAAATTTCGTTCATAATGACACGCTATGTAAATGGCATTCACACGGTCGAACACGACATACGAACAAACCAAATCCACTTTTCAAGGAAGGTGGGAATACTGCAATAGATCTATAGAGGAAATGAGAGTATTGATTTAAAAAGTTCTTAAAAGCTTGTTACATTTACTTTCTAATGTTAAGCACAATTTACTTTACACTTTATAAAATTATTATAAAAAAAATAATTTCACAAAACCTCTCTATTACAATGAATTTCATAACGACTAGCGGCTGACGCCATTCACAAAGGGATACGAAATTAGATCTCCAGTTGTAGTATCACGGTCTTAACAGTACAATTTTGGTTCAGGATCAGGTATGCTGCTTACCCCATTTAATCAGTTATCAATTAAGATTTTATTTTTAAGTAAGAATAGAGAGTGTAATCAACTCAGATATATAGTTTTTAATTCTGCGGCACAAACATTACAGACTTCTTTTTCTGTCTTCTACCTTCTTACACTACTTATTCCAAAAGCCATCAATAGTTTTAGTTGTATAATGACTTGGATACCTCCCAGTAGTTCGCTAATTGTACTTTTTAAGCTTGGATAGGGAACAGTGGATATTCAGACCTGGTGTTGGCGTAATGGTCTACGCTATGGGTCTACGGATCAGTCGCCGTGAGCTGCGCGGGTCTGAATATTTGAATCCCGTCCCAAAGTCCCAAGAGAATTTTTTCCTTGCTTATGGATCTTATTAGTGTCTGTAGACGGTTTCAGACTGTCGAGTCTGGGGGTATCACCCAGCGGGTCCAGAATGTGTCTACTCGCCCGCCTTCTTTTCCCTGTATTTCCGGCACTCTAGGATATTCATGCCTTAGGCCTGCGTAATGGCTCAAGTATAAAAAATTATTAAATTTAGACAATTGAAAGGGATCATCTGGTTTGAGTGACGAATACCAAAATCATGTTTATCCAATAAAATTTCAAACGTCTAAATGAACCAATTTCATAACGATCGTGCCATTTAAGAAAATATACAGTTATTCGCAGGAGTGAAGTGCATAGTGGAAGGGGGATTGAATCTATCGCCGCGTACGTGATAAAATGGGAAACATCGTCGACATGATAGTGGAAAATAGGCGTGGTCTCTATGGTAAAATCTGTACCATGTGGGGTCAGCTGAGCGCCTAGCAATCGTGCTCCTATCATTTTTCAGATCAAAAAAAAACTGTCAGTTTGAAATTCAAATTGTTTTTAACCTCTTATCGACTAAATGTCTGTTATTTTCAGCGATATATCTTACTATTACATTTACTGTATGCGTTAAGCACAATGATGATGATATCGCTCACCCAGCAAATAAGGGTTCACTTGTAAGTGCAGGGTGTTCTCAAAGTTGGGTGTTTCCTTTACAGAGCGTATAGGTCAGGCAATAACAAACAAGCTTCCCTAGTACCAAAGCTTTAAGGTAACAGATATATTAAATTCCGAAATACTCCAAATAAGCAATTTCGACTCTGCCCCATCAAATAGTACGATGTTTTATGGTAATTTGAATATGTAAGCTAGTGTTCAAATCAGGCGTCGCGCGGTCTGTAGGTTAACCTAGTCTATAGGCAAACTGCGTTTAGAACCGTTCATTGTGCGCGTCTCAAGATGTTATTGATACTCCGCGAGTGTATTCGAGTATTCAAAAGGTCACCGTAGTCCTAGAAGTTTCCATCAGAGCTGGGCAGGTTTGCTTATATCATGTAAAAGTCGCCTGGGTGGACTCAGTAGAAGACCTAGATAGCCTCAAACGTTGTAAATTTAGGAAGGAGTAAACAAACTCGTGTTCTTGAATCAAATAGGGGCAACTTCAAGCAGTAATTACAAATTATAACATGTGACAGGGCAGTACTTAAAATGCGATACCAAATCAATTGTGAATATTTTTCTTCAATTTCTTTTTCGTCTTCTGAATGTCGTTCTACCGCAAATAACCATTGATATGTTGAACATAGTTGTTGACAAGGAAAGTCCAAACCTTCAGAACACCATGCATATCGAAATTACAATGAAACATTTTCCGCTGCTTGAAACCCTTTCCGCCATCAAAACACATGATCGTGGACAAACTAGTGATGCGAGGTGCGCATCGCTCCACTGCGGTATTTGCACTTTTCAATCATGGCATTCCAGAAAACGCAGAGCCATTGAAACTAGGGGTCCAACTTAAGGGAGGAGTTCGGCTAGGGCGGTCCTGGAAAATCGACGATTAATCCCCTGACCACAAATCTATACAGCATACCAGCTTACTCAGGCGTCTGTTGGGACAATAAGATGATTGTCATTTAGATACGCCAATGATCTCGCAATAATTGGTAGTATCGTACATACTAGCAGCTGAGCTGAGTAGTCACAATAAACGACTTTTAGTGCATGGTCAAAAACTCGCAGACAACGAACCGTGAATTTTTTCTCACAGTGTCTAATTCCTCGAAAACTTCTTGTGATGTTGCGGGAATTTGCCGGTAGCAGCGAGATTACCTTGAACGGTCGCGATCGAATTCCAGCGACGAAGAAGTGTGAAGTAACGACCGCAGTGAAAGTAATTGAATTGTTTATAAACATATAGTGTGCTTCGCTCCGCTCATGATGCTCAAGGCTATAATCAAGACCGAGCCCGATTGGGACATGATAGACTCGTTTATTATGTGTAAGTGCCTACCTGTTTTTCATTCAGTATGAAAGAGTTTGTCCCCCAGGAGCTAAATGATCCCGCGGTGTTCCTCTGGAAGAAGAAAGCGATAGGTCTTGAACTTTTAGGGTTCAATAATTCCGAAAGTGGCATGTTTCTGTATGTACGTTTCTAAAAATAAAAAAAAACCGACTGCAGTAATTGAAAAGCATAAAAGTACATCGAACAGTTTGGGCTGTATCCATGGAATGAAACTTTCGAAGTAAAAATTTGGGATGTAAATTATAGAGACAACTAATATGTTGAAAGCCATCAAGGCATTTAAGCTGTAGCCCGTGAAATAGAATGCCACAGAAACGTTTGCCTTGTGATCAAAGCTCTTATAAAGTATAGTCAACGCCAAACAAAGTGGCGTGCACGTCATCAAGGTGGGTGTGTTGAAAAATTTACATTGTTGCCAAACTTTTTGTAAAATAATAAAATTTATTATTTACATATCTAGGTTTATAAGCAATATTAACCTCAAATGAGAACAAAAATAATAGTATAATAAAATTATAGATCTGTACTTGCATAATCACTAAGTATGACAATTATTGATCAGATGACACTATGAAACTACCATATTTAATTGATAGCTTAAAGGTACTGAATAAAAATCCAAATGGGGTCCTCCAAATTTTATGCATGGTATTTATTTTACAGAATTCATACAGAAAAATGCATTCTAAAATTAGGTAAGCTACTGGTGTAAGCTTTTTCTGTACAATAAAGTTAGTCGGAGTTTCTTTCTTCAGCGCTGTCTGAATCTGAATCTTCATCACTCTCAAAGTTGATTATTAAAGGTTCGATGTCTGGTCGATCAAAAATTCTTTCTCTTTCATACCATTTAAAAATTTCTTGCTCAGTATGTCGAACACTATTTTTCCACATGTCTGGGGTAACCGTTTGTAGAGCCTCGTTCCACATATCCAAACAGTCTTTTTCACTGTTACCATCTCTACCAATATGTCTGTTATAGTAACCTTTTGCTATGCCCCAAATTAACTCAATAGGGTTAAATATACAATGGTAAGGAGGCAGACGAAGAACTTTGTGCCCATGTTGTTCCGCCAATTCATCAATCACGTATATTTTAGGTGGTTTGTTTCTAAAAAAGCAGTTATTTTAAGAATAGGAATAAACAAAAGAAATATAAACTGTCGACCAAAATATATATAATTAAGAAGCATTATGTACCGAGCAACAATACTCAATAGCTCTGTTTTAAACATTGTGTTTAAAAATGGTATGTTTTGATTTGTCAACCAGTCTTGGATATTTTTTTTTGTCCATGCATTGTTGGGCACTTTGTCCAATATCATGCTGTGATAAGGGGCGTTATCCAGTATAATCATAGATGGACTCTCCAATTTTTCTAATAACTGATGTTGAAACCATTTCCAAAAATTGTCCTGGTTCATCTCTCCATGGTAATCGCTCAATTTTGTTTTCGAAGAAAATATCGCTTCACTACCCTCAATAAACCCATTTTCATTTCCAGCATGTAATATAATGTATCTAAAATATATTAGTTTTAAATTTTATAGTGCAAATTGTGTAAAAGTACATACCTTTTACCATCTGTTTTAATAGCTTTCACGCTTTTTTAGTTTCCATTTTGCCAAGAGCGACCTATGGTCCCATTTTGAAATATCCAAGTTTCATCGAGGAAGACAAACTGGTATAAGGCCTCAACCTTGGCTTGATTGTATTGCCTTAGAAATTCCACCCTTTTCAAAGCTATACTTGGTAGTTCCATGAGCCCTCGTCGCGGATTGTCCTTAAGCCACTTAAATCCAAGATCTCTAAGCAACCGCCTTAAAGACGTGGCACTACCATCAAATAATGCCCTATCTCTTAATCGAGACCATAAAGTTTGTATCGTAACTTGTTCTTCTGAAACCATGTGTAATATGACATTATAATTTAGTTAACAAATTAATGCAAATTTATGATAAGTTATTATAATAAGATCTTACTTTTGTGATACATATTATAGATCACTTCTCGAATGGCACTTGTATCCAATGTCGCTGTGTTGGTTACACGTTTAATATAACTCCGCTTTTTCTTGGGCGATTCTAAATTTGCATCACTTTTCACACCCTCGGAAATACGACTAACTGTCCTTAAACTAATTTTTAAAGCAGCAGCAACACGCTACAAAAAATGAAATAAAATTTCACTATTATTAATATACATTACATATAATTATTAGTAACCTACCTCTTGAACAGCATTTAAAGGCAACAAAGGCCCGTTGTTGTCCCTTTCTTGCTCAAAGTAGTGCATTAACGAGGCCACGAGTTCCTTACACCGACTATTTAACTGTTTGGGCATCTTTATATACCAAAATTGCCTTTATCTACTCGTAAAATGAATAATTTTGTTTTGAAACAAACAGTTGTTGATTTACAGTATGCGGGGCCAAAGGATTTATAAAGATTTGAAATGCCACAAATTCATTCAGTGTCAAAATTAATACAAATGCCAGTTCCCAGTTTAAATAAGTTTCAAGGTGACAATGTGTCAACGCTGCGAAATCGGTTTAGTGCGTTTACATGTCGATAAGTGATTGGAGCGTTTGCAAAACATTTTATTTCGCATAATGCGTCTAAATTTATCAGAAAGCAACTTATGTGATATTTTAATAACAATGTTTATATGACTATTAACCATAATAAGAGAGTAATGACCATTTTACAATTTATATATCACATTAATATGAAACTGCAATAGAGCAATTGTTTGTGATAGAAACCTAGGCATTAGGTCGGGGAATTTTTATCGTGATGACGTGCACGCCACTTTGTTTGGCGTTGACTATAGCTGCGTTCGTCCGTCCTAAGCTCTTCAACGTCTCTCATATGCTGCACTGCTTTTCTCTTTTTGCATAGTTTAAGGTTGGAGGTTTCAATTAATTTTTAAGGATTTAGATCGCGTTCGGATTATCACATTGATTTTTTGTCCAAGTACGCCAATTACTCAGTTTAATATGCACCAAACTCGTTTGGATGTACCACACAGCAAAATCGTCACATTCGTCAAGATCTAGAGCAATAGTGTCACTAAATGTCAATTGCATTGTTTCTAGAAGTAAATCATGAGGAGGGTCTAGCTGCCTCCCAGCCAAACCGACAATAAGTTATTCACTTATTCATTTACTGACCAGACACGAAATGGTAGCTGAATCATTCCATTTTGGTTCGGATAATAATAACTTGTATTTACATATTACTACTTTCCACTGCATTAGCCATAAAATAGATACAGATGAGCAAAAAGTAGTCATTTTCCTTTGTAGGTTCCCTGCCAGCGGAGATTAAACCACGATATACCGAGTACCCTGTGGTGTAAAATGGTGCAGATTATTTCCTTTATATGCAGTGGAATAGTAGTTACTGCTGACATTTTATTACGTCAAGTGCTATCTCTAATGCGCCGTCTTTAAATATGCCATCCTCTGCAGAATTTTCAGAATGATGGTTCTGAGCGATATTTGAAGAGCTATCCCACATTGCAGACTGACAATTCGAGAAGTAAGGTGATTAATTTGAGGCAACGTATTCTATCTGAAAATAGACAGCCATATGCTGTATACGGGCATCCAAAATGGGATCTACGAGACAGTGGCAGACCACAAACATGAATTTAGGAATCTACCTTGAAAGCAGTTAGGGGGCTTATTTTTTATCCTCTCGGTAATACTGGGATCCTCAATCCCTATCTGGCGCCCCTCTAATGCCTATTTCAATTGGATATCTTCTGGCGTAACTTAACGTATTCCATTTGAATACAGTGTGTAAACGTTATGGGTAATGGGTAAGGGGGGCCAAAACAAGTCAAAAAGTTCATATGACCCATGGTCCAAAAGTCAATAGATTTTTGTCTAAATGGCTTTATAGTTTACAACTTTAAGTGCTTTATATCGTCCACAATCACCACAATCTTACTAATTTTTATAATCTAATCTAAAACGTTTTTAAATTGGGTAATTAACAAATAAATAGCATTAAGTTTTTCTAAGTTAAGCCAAAATTTGTAGTCAGTAAGTAAGTTTAATTAAATTGAATATCTAAAACACACATTAGAACAGCGCGTCGGTCATCATCACTCTTATCGAACCGGCAATCGATCGCAACCGGTAACAGTGGTTAGTATGTTGTTTTGTTTTTGTTCGCGTTCGTCGTCGTGTTGATTAAAAATGATCTCGAATCAAGAGTTCGCCGACATGTTGTTAGTTTACGGTGAAGCTCGTCAGAATTCAAATCTTGCAGCTCAAATTTATCGCGACAGATTTCGCCAACGGGTACACCCAGACAGAAGGACATTTGTGCAAGTGTACCAAAGACTTCGAGATACAGGAAGTGTTCAGCCCACTAATATTCGCACTCGTGAAAGACAGGTTACTGTAGAGCAGGAGGAACAAATTTTAAATATTGTGGAAATCAATGAAGATTTCAGCACTCGGGAATTAGGCCACCGCGTAGGACTATCACATAGTCCATAGAATCCTACTGGAAAATTAGCTTTATTCCTACCGTGTACAACGAGTACAGGCCTTGCTACCAGAAGACTATCTTCGCAGACTAACATTCTGTCAGTGGTTTTTGCACAGAAACATTGAAAATCCGGATTTTTTAAAAAACATTCTAGCGACGGACGAATGTACTTTTACGCGAGACGGGATATTAAATTTCCATAATACACGTGGGCTCAAGAAAATCCTCATACCATTCGTGAAGGTCATTTCCAACAACGTTTTAAAATAAATATTTGGGCGGGTATTCTTGACGATCAGGTAATTGGCCCTTTCGAGTTACCCCCAAAGTTGTCAGGAGAAGGATACCTTAACTTTCTAGCTAATAACCAGAACCAGAACTTTTGGAACAGACCTTAGACAACATGCCATTACAACGGAGACAGAATTTGTGGTTTCTTCATGACAGGTCACCACCACACATTTTTAGAGGCGTCATTCAGTATTTGAATGAACATTATCCAAATCGCTGGATCGGTCGAAATGCTCCTGATCCTCGAAAATGGCCAGCAAGATCTCCTGACCTCAATCCGATGGTATTGGGGAGAACTTGAAGGGATGGTTTACTTCGAGGACCTAGAGTAAGAAG